AAAAAAGGTTTCCCCGGGGGCCGGGGGGGTTTTCCCATTTTTTGGGGGGGGGGGGGGGGGGGGGGGGGGGGGGAGTCGAAGGAAATATGAACCTTTTTCCCTCGAACGGTCCAACTCATGAGGACCAGTACGGATCTCGTGGAGGTACTGCTGTGTATGAGTCAGGACGGTGTTTGTTGTCAAGATAAAAAACAACAATCAACTTTTGGCAGTGACAACGGGAACCGCAGCAGTCCATGCCCTTCCACCAGCTGTTCTAATACGACACCATCGTTAGGGGTAGATTCAAAGGAGCTTCGTGCCAAGCCAAGCACCGACTATTCTCAACCTGGCCACCGCCCGCCGCCTCCTCCCTCCCTCCCTCTCGCGGCTCCGTGCTTGTCCTTGCATGCAGGTTGACAAGAACCGCCTGAACGCTTGCCGCGAAAGCATCGTACAGGGCTTCCAGTGGGGATGTAGGGAGGGACCGCTCTGCGACGAGCCCATCCGTAACGCCAAGTTCAAGATCCTGGACGCGGTCATCGCGGCGGAACCTATCCACCGGGGGGGGGGGCAGGTGCGCGAGGGTCCTATAACAGTTAGCACTGGAGGTGTGCTGTGGGCTGTGTACTTTGGGCTGCGCGCTTGGATCGGTCGAAAGTTTTCTTGCGCACTCGTAGCTGCTTGCAATACGCTAACAACCCCAAAGCCGGTCCATGTGCCACGGAAGGAAACTACAATATCGGGCTCGTCTCCAGTGTCTGGACCATTGTTAAGCCTAACCTGTAGTGAATGCAGTGCTTCAAGGATTGAGTTACTCGATGTTTCTGTATATCTAGGCGAGGCTGGGTGAAAAGCACACGCGCAACAGGGATTTCACTGATTTCGTGCAAAATACGCGGTACAGTGTTTAGTAGATTCCTAGGGGTTTGGCTTCAAAATCCCAGCCTTCACCCTAAACCCTAAGAAGCAGTCGAGGGCTTCCTGCGAAGTAGTCGAGGTTCTCCTAAGGAGTTTATTGGGGTTATCGTGCAAGCGCCACTTCGGTCGTTCAATGTCATGGCTAACAACAACGACGTAACGCCAAGTTTCAAGCTCCTGGACTCGGGTGATCGCGGCGGAACCTTTCCACCGGGGGGCGGGGGGGGCAGGTCCGCGCGCGGTCCCATTTAGCACTGGCTGTGGAGCCGTGTGGCCTTGTCTCTAGGACGTACGTGTTGGTGGTGGCGGAGGGTTTCAACAGCGGTTTTGTGTCTTGTCTGTGTCAGGTTATCCCGACGGCGAGGAGGGTGGCGTACTCGGCCTTCCTGATGGCGACGCCACGGCTCATGGAGCCCATCTTCCGGGTGGAGGTGCAGGCGCCAGCGGACGTGGTTTCGGCCATCTACCCCGCTCTTCAGAAGAGGAGAGGACACGTCGTTCAGGCAAGACGGAAGAGAGGCTAGATAAGGGATAAACGTATCGAAAAAAGGCGTGTGGATTAGACAGAAAGTTGAAACTAATCCAAGAGTAATGGCAAAAAAATCTCCCCGAGAAAAAAAAATCGTTTTGGAACATGTTACATAAGGAATGGTGCCTGTTGTATTGTAAGAAGAGAGTGGGTGCATGGTAAGACTGCTGCTGTTGATGTGCTTGAATATTTTTTCCGTGTTGTTGTGTGGCGCGCTTGGCGTGCAGGACGCTCCGAAGCCGGGGGCACCTTTCTACACGGTGAAGGCGTTCATCCCCTCCATCGACTCCTTCGGTTTCGAGACCGACCTCAGGGCCTACACGCAGGTGCGCCAGGCGCTATTTCCCGCCTTGCCTTCGCCATGGTACCTTCGAGATGCGGGGCGAGACGAAGCAGGGGGTTAAAAGTTTCCGTGTTTTCGGTTTTCTTTCTGCGCACCAATTCCAAAAGCTAGTTTGTAGGTGATGATGGCTTAGTACTTGGTAGTCGTTAACGTCTGCTGGTTTAGTAGTCGGTAACGTCTGCGAGACCCCGACCACTCCAGTACGCGACGCTCAACAACAACCACACAAGAACGGCAGAAACTGGTGTAGCTGGGGTTGTACCGCACGGACACCCCAAATGTTCGTGAAGTTGGACGACAACCCTTTTGTACCAGCACCCGCGGCGGCAACAGCACTGCTGTACGCAAGCCACACAAGAAGCGACGATTTCGATGACCCAAAAACACCGCCAAACAATGCTGCTGCTTGCTGCCTCTGACACCGCGTTTTGTTTGGTTGCTTGCTTTGCCCGCTGTGTTTTTTTTCCCTTCCTTTCATCGGTTGGGGTGACAGGGCCAAGCCTTCTGCACACAGGTGTTCGACCACTGGAGCATCGTACCGGGGGACCCGCTGGACCGCAACATTATCCTGCACCCGCTCGAGCCGTCGCCGCCACAGCACCTCGCCAGGGAGTTCATGGTGGGTTGTGGTGTTATACTATAGCAGCAGCGTGTTCTGGTTTGTTTTTGTCAGAGGGGAAACATATTTTGTGACGCGCGCCAGATGGTTGTGGTGGAGAATTGGCTGCGGTGCGGCACAAGGGTCGCTGCCAGGCGTCTCGATGCCTTGTCGAGCATCTGTTGTTGCCTTTTCGTTTTTGCTTCCTCGAGCCTTGGGCCGCTGGCCGGTGTGGCTTGGTTTGCTCCCTCTCTCGTCCAACCCCCCCCGCTTATCTCTCTGTCTCTGTCTCTCTGTTTTCTCTCTGGCCCAACTGCCGCGCAAAAGTGAGTTTTGCTTGACAGGACAAAAAAACGAGGGAGGTAGCTCTGTCGGTAGCTTGCTGGCGACCTTCCTTTCTGTCACCCTTGCACGTCTTCGCTCCTTGTCTACTACAGTGCTGCATCCGCATCTCTCTTTGTCGTTCGCCACTCTATTCTCTTACCATCTCACACCACCCACAGGTCAAGACCAGACGCAGAAAGGGTCTAAGCGAGGACGTTTCGATCAACAAGTTCTTCGACGACCCCATGCTCATGGAGCTGGCCAGGCAACAGGCAGAGATGGGGGCAGGGGGCATGGTGTGATGCGGTCGCTTTTAGAGAAAGAGAGGCGCCAACAAACCTGGTTGGTGATACTGCTCTTTTCGGTGTTTGAAATACGCAGCGGCGACGGGGTTTGTACGAAGAAAAACTTGTAACTTTTGAGTAGAACCGAAACAAGCCGCATTTCAGTAGGGCTGATCTTATCGAGGAGCGGAGGCGGCGCGATATTGAGCCAAAGCAGGGCGATGATGGTGTAGTCGAACGAGGGTGTTCCTGACAGTCGTAGTATCCGAGGTGATGCCGGACTGAGAGCGTTCGGTCCCTCTGGGTGTATGCGGCCGGCGGAATGGAAGGGCCATGGGGTAGTCATTTGTTGCTTGCCTCTTGCTCTTGGCGCTATGGGCCATGCACCGCGTTCGAGACGGAGAAGGGGTGGGTGGCGCGTAGGGGGGATGGTACTCGTGTAAACGCATGCCGCAGTCGTTAGACCGTCGTTGATTTCGCAGCATCCCTGCAACGGAGCGGTGGCGCGTACAAGTAGGAGTTGTCAGAATTTTTCGCCGTCGTTATGGCGTGCAGGTTTGTTTGCGTTTCAGCCGAAGCAAAGTAGCACGGAAGACCAAGGGTGGTGCGGAATGAACGAGGTCGACTGGAGGTCCAATATCACAATATCACCACCAGGCCATGCGATGGGCGTGTGGTGTAGGCGTTGTGTTGTCGGCTGCTGAACCGAGGTAGAAAAACGACGACCTCCCGTAGAGTACATGGCGTTGGCACGTCAAGTGCATGATGGTGCGTGTTGGAGGGACGGGAGCCGCCGTGCGTCACTACGGAGTTTGGGTGGGTTTGTCGGATCGCGACAAGACCATTTTGTCGGCCGCGTTTCCTTTGCCAACAGGAGCGTCTTTCGCCTTAATTACATGAACAACACCCACAAACTGCGAAAATAACAACAAAAACAGTGAAAAACAAACAAAATTGAGATGGATTGACGAGGGCTCACGACCGTTTTCCTTGCCAACAAAACTCGAGGTTGATGATGTAGTAACACAACGGAGACGTGAAACCGGTCCGGTGGGAGGTTGCCACCTTGTTTTTGAAATGACTGCATGTGGAGACAGATCCCCTTCATCGAGGGCACAATCTCCCCGAAACCCGTCTGTCGAGGAGAACGACTCCCTCTTTTCAATGCATGTTGAAACCTGCGCGTTCCATCACATCCTTATCTTTCGCATGCACAAAAGAGGCACCATCAATCGGCATGACAGATTTTCGCCCCGCAGCGTCTCGACAAGGGGCACACAACATATCGTGGAGTGGAACAAACACACTCTGTCTCGCGTATCACGGGCGGTGTCACCCAAGCTCTTGACAACAGAAGGCGAGCCGTCTCCCGTGCGATCTGGTCAACAGCTTTATAATAGTAGCTCGTGCTGACGCCGAAAGCTAGACGGGCGGTGCGCGTAGCGCGTCCATCGTCATGGTCACGACCAACATGCTCGCGATCGGGTCGATCTTCGAAAACAAATATCTCTCTCCCACAACACGCAAGCCGCAAGCCAAACCGCGACAAGGCTTGGAACATCGCACAATGTACCACTGGCATTGCGGAGGGTTAGCGCATCGATACGTGTGAACGCCTTCTTTCCCCACCCCCCCCGGCTATGATACACATTCGTTTTTCATGATTTCAGCAATCGGTTCGTGTGGCTGGTCAAACAACCGTATCAAATCTAACTTGATCGAACTACCCTTTCCGGTTGGTTACCGGGTACACCAGTCGCTCTGCTCAAAAAGCCGAGGACGATATTTCTCTCCGCGATATCCACGGGTCCTGCTTTAAAGCCTATCTTCTCTCTATGCTATCCTCCCGCGAGGCTGTTTCGGCTGTTCGCCATTCTGGCTGTTCGCTTCGCAGCAGTACAATATGGTGTCCATCCATCGCTCAAGAGCGCTTTTCTTGAGTCCGCCGTCCGGTTTACTTGTCCTTTTTGTCAGCGGCGTCTTGTTCTTCCCCGTCGCCCTCCTCCGTGTCTTCGTCGTACGCCAGGAGAGCCTTCACCTCTGCGATCGGACGACAACAAACGACGACAGGGCGATTCGGCGCCGGGCAATGATGACCGGGGGTGCGGCAAAAGGGACACTTCTTGACTATCTCCAAACAACAACCGTAGTGTGCCGGTGCGGCTATCTAAACCAAATTCGGTCAAAGCAACACTTAGCTCCTATAGAGACGCACGGGTAACGGCCTGGTGTCCACGGAGATTCGTTCTTCTTCAGAAAATTGACCCATCCATTACTGTTGTATTCAAACAGAGGTCGGGTAGAGCAGGCCGTCCATCAATGCCGAAACAACACTATAATAGTGCCAACAACAACAGCAGTAGCAGAAGCAGCAGCAGCAACAGACCGTACGTCAATGCCGAAACAACCACCACCAGTGCCAACAACAGCAGCAGCAACAGCAGCAGCAGCAGCAGCAGCAGCAGCAGCAGCAGCACCAACAACAACAACAACAACACCGCACGCACCTCTGCGCCACAGAGCAGTGACGCCGGTGGCCCCGAGGCACGCCGGGACGAGGTAGAAGAGAGCCGGCTGCGCCGCCTTGAAGTAGAACATCACCGTCACGGTCGCTGCCAACCCGCCCATGTACGCAACGAGGCACGCGTGGAAGTACGGCTGACAGCATCGCGTAAACCACCCGGCACGGTGTCGTTGGTGTTTGCGAGACCAGCCGCGATTCGGGGGGGGGGGGGGGGACATGGGGAAGGAGAGTGTGAAAAACATTGTAAACCGGGAGGCTCTTCATTGACACATAGAGGGGGGTGAACCACTAAGGCAGAAGACCGCCCGCCCGCCGAGATGCTCCTGCTGTCCAGCCCATGGCGTACCGACAAAGCATGACAGCCATGGCGAAGACCGGAAAGGACCCGAGAGAGATGAAGAAACAAGCGCACGCCTCGACGGTGAGAAGAAAACGAAGAGCCCCGGCCGACTCGATAAAGGCTCGGGGGAGGAAGGGTGAGCGGCCTAAATAGTGAGAGAAACCAGCTTGGTCATGCATGAATCGTTGTCTACCAGTGAGAGAGACGAGGCTATTCTTCGCAGCCCCGACAGGGTCGCCTCCGAGAGAAACAAAGAGACACCAACACGAAAAGGGTACAACACTATTATAAAATAGGACGGATTATTATTCCTTAACATAGGACGGAGAGCGGGATGCGTAGAAACAGCCCACCACGCAGCTCATTTGTGTTGGACCATGGTGGTGACGTGGTCTCCCTACTTTCTGTCGCACCTTGCACAGGAAGCTGGTACGGCAGTGCTCTTGGCGAGGGGAAAGCGGGTTGCCCAACCGCGCAAAACAAAACAAAACCTTTAATCCCCTACACCTTCGGGACGATATGCCAAGACAACGAGTAAACGGAGGAGGGAGGGTGTGGGCCAATCGGTACCTTCGATGTTGTCTCTCTTTCCCTGTCCTCGTGCTACAAATTTACCTTCGGGAAGCTGCCGTGCTCCGCGTGGGAAGGGTCCGCGTTCGCCCTCACAGCGTCGAACCTGATCAGCAGGGCCGAGAACAGGCCTGCACGACACACCAACAAGAGAGAGAGAGAGAAAAAGAGAAAAAGAAAAAGAGAGAGAAGTGCGCGGATGAACGTACTCAGCGCGAAACTTCGGTACTAATCGCCACAAGGGCAGCCGCCGGCTGTCAACGGCCGTGGTATAAGGAAAGGAACGAGCCGGGCGTCTCTAGCTTCCGTCGCTGTTATTGGCAACCACTGGCCACACGTAGGTCTTCGCAGCTGCTGCCTTCCTGGATACGTTCCGATCAAGCACTCAGACCCCAATCGTTTCGAAGCTTTTAAAACGGTGCCCCTACAGTATTCCCCCCCCCGGTGTTTGCCATCGGGGTTGGGTTTTCGTCGCTGGCAACGACGTTGCAAAACAAGCCCATCACTTCGTGAGTTCGGCAACCAGGTTACCGCTCTTTTTTGTTGCCTCAGGTTTTCTTTTATTGCGGTAGCCATTATGGTGGCCAAGTAGATTGAATACTTGCGGGCTACTTTGTTTGGGGTGTGTGTGCTCATAGTCGTGCATTGACCTCGCATCCGTACAAAGCCGAGACGGAGCACGCCGGGCTCTCACCGGACCAGGCTCTCACATCACCAAGCGCGAAGCACCGTGAGGTATTTGGCGAGTCGCATGAAGGGTGCGCTGCATCCTGCTAAGGGTGTTCGCCATCTCGTGCTTACTTACTTCCGTACGGATGACAGCTGCGAATGACTTAATTTATTGTCTGGTGCTTGCACTTCCAGGGACAGCTATAAGCACTGCTGCGTAACTGCCTCGAGAATGCTTAACCAATTTAACACAACGTGGTGCCATCATCCCCTTTGCGCGGAGTGAGGGTTCTCGACCCCGCACAACATAATCCTCCTCTTGCCGTTTTTCTGTACTCCATCTCTCTGCCTCTGTCTCATCTTGTGAGGAGAACTTTTCGTCGTCTCAAGCCCGAGGAGGTCGACAACCGACAGGGGGTTCTGCAGCCTTTTTCTTTTGTTCGTCATCCCGCAAACGGGCTACCTTTGGTGACGCAATTTTCCACAACCCCTGAACAATCTCTCAACGCTCGATTTTTCAGGACGAAGAGAATGCATGTGTATATCAAACGATACTGTACGTTTTCGGAAACACGCGAAGGCTCCAACGCCGTCGTTTCCGGCGCCGTCCCTGTTTCTGCTGCGGCGTAGCAATCGAGCTTCGAAAATCGGTTCTAAGAGGGTGCGGCATCTTGTGCCATGTCACACGGGGCACGCGCCGGCAGCTCCCCAACAAGCCTGCTCGGACTTAAGTTTTTTCACCATCATCTGTCTCATTCCACACATTGGCCTGTAGAATAGTGCTGCTTACCGAGCTTTGCACTTGTTCTAACTGGAAGCCACTCCTATTTAGCCCCTTGTCGAGCAACAAGAGGGGGTCTGACTGCTTTTGCTTATTACATACGCTGCTCGCTCACCCGGCACGACGATGTCGCCGAGACCTAGCAGGCTGGTGGTGAGCTTGACGGGGGGGTCGGCGTCCGGGTTGGCCCACGCGCTCACGAACAAGATCTTGATCGGCCCTTGGACGCTCTTCGCCACCGACTCCATCACGGGGCCCCTGCAACAACAACAAAAAAGAGTCGAATCAGGTGGGTGTCTCGCACGCTTTTCTGGCTTTGGCAACGAACAGCTTCTTCTCCGGTGGGTATAACTTCCTCTAGTTAGTTAAGAGAAGGGGATCGTCATTCATGCCAAGTACATAATGGCAAAAAGTTAAAGACGAGCTGTGGAGGTGACTCTACAATAGCACACGCAGAACAGAGGAAATATCCCCTTCGTCGAGAGGAATGCGTCAACAAACCACGCGGGGATGCAACAACAACACGTTCCCACCGTCCCCCTCAGCTAGATACCTTTGCAACCCTCTGCTCCGCGCCAGGCGAAAAAAAAGGGCGACTCTCAACGACGACCCCGACTCTTCCCCGATAGCTCTGTTGATCCTCACCCGTACACCCAGGTGATGTCGTAAATGAAGAGCCCCACCAGCAGAATGCCTGCCACCTTTACAGACCCCAGCGACACGCGCTCCATCGCCTTGAGGGCGAGCGACAGGGAAGGGATACGGAGCGTGCGCAGCGTGCGGGAGGGGACAGACAGCACAGCACAGAATCGTGTGTTGAGCGAGAGCAGCGGCGGCGGTGGAGACGTCCCAAGGGAGAAGGAAGGATATTCTTTTTAAAGGGTGCGACGACGGTGGACGACCTCAACCGCACACACAGCTCCAACACGTGTACCAAGACGTGATATGTTCGCTGAATGCTGTTGCTGCCGCTGCTGGTGCCAGCATTGCCACCACAACAAAAACAACAAGACACGCCTCTCCAACAACAACGCACACATCCCCTGCAACGGTCAGCCGGTCAGCCGGTCAGCACGGTCGATGCCAACTAAACACACAAAGCACCGCAGGAGGGATGCATGGAGAGGAACCTTTCTGTGTGACCACGGGTTGGAGTACGCGGCACGAATGCTGTAAGCGCTGATGTGAAGTGACGACAAAAAAAAACACACACACACACACACACACACAAATACACACCTGCACGCAGAAGGTCATGCCGAAGATGTTGTTGAGCGCCCAGTGCCTGGTCTTCGCGTAAGCTGCCGCAAACGCCACGCCGATCACGAAGCTCACCAGCTCCGTAGCCGTGAAGGTCAAGTCCACCTCTCCGATCAAGGGCAGCTCAAACTTGGTGCCGTGGCGCTTCGCGTCCTGGGACGACAGACAAGGGTCCGGCCAACCGCGTTTCGCGAGTAGGGGGGTGCAGTGACGGGGGGGGGGGGGGGGGTGAGAACCTTGTACTCAATAGTAGTTTAGGTTGGCTGGTTTCCCTGGATGGCGAAGGTGTGTCCGAACACCATCTGGAGGGCGTAAAAAACAGGAGTTCGAAGCAGACAGACGGGAGCGACGACAAAACCCCCCCTGTAAATCAACGTTTTCTTTCGTTATACATATAACCCTGTCCCTAGTCTTACGATCTACTTCGTGCTGTCGCCTCTCTCACCGTGGTGCCGAAGATCTGCACGAGGACAGGGTCGACCGTGGCCGCTAGCGCGAAAGACCCGATGAAGGTGAAGTAGGCCAACAGAAGCATGTTTACAATCTTGGCGTCCACGTACTGGGTTGTTGCAGCGTCGTTGGTATTTTCCCCCGAGCCAGCAGCGGCGTAGTACAGGAAAGACGACACGTGACAACAATAGCGAGGAAACAAGTGAAGGGGCGGCGGAGGCATCACAAATCACAAGCAAGGAGGAGGCGTACGTCGACGTAAACGTGGCTCGTTCAGCTCAGAGCACGACGCGCGGTCAAGGACTTGACCTAACGCCTCCCGGGCGCAACAAAGGTCCCCATAGCAGTCGCTTCAAACCACAGGATAGCTGCATTACACCATCCAGATTCAGCGGTGTTGGTGTGATGATGCCATGTGCCGCATGACCGAGAAAGATACCATTTCGTACAATCTAGGGTTTCTCCCGAGCAGCAATCACTAAATACGCGGAGAGCTAAAACCTTACCATGAGCTCTCATTACAATACACGGTGTAACGCAGGCAACATATTGCGGAGATTCCGAAGACAGATTGGCGTACTGGTATGCAGTCCACAGAGCTGCAAAAGGGGGGCGGGGGGTGTTTTCTGTCGCACCCTGCTGCGATCCACGGGCAACATCTCACCTTGAACAAAAAGTATATGGTGACGAGCACCATGCTTCCGACGACGGGCGCCTTCATGGCAGCCTCTTTTGACAGAGTCTCGGACTGGTGTTGAATCCAGTAAGAAGGAAGGAGAGCGGGAGAGAGAGAAAGAGAGAGAGAGAGAGAGAGAGAGAGAGAGAGAGAGAGAGAGAGAGACAGACAGAGATGAGACAAAGACACACAGAGAGAGAGAGCGAGAGAGAGAGAGCGAGAAAGAGAGAGAGAGACAGACAGACAGACAGAGATGAGACAGAGACACACAGAGAGAAAGAGCGAGAGAGAGAGAGAGAGAGAGAGAAAGAGAGAGAGAGAGAAAGAGAGAGAGAGAGAGAGAGAGAGAGAGAAAGAGAGAGAGAGAGAGAGAGAGAAAGAGAGAGAGAGAGAGCGAGAACGAGAGCGAGACAGACACAGCGATAAGAGAGAAGGAAAGAGAGAGAACGAGAGACAGACAGAGACAGAGACAGAGAAAGGAGAGAGAGGGACGGAGAGTAATGCCGCCGACCGACACACCGGGGCGACGGGGCGAGCGGAGGTAACGCGAGGTTGAGAAACATACGAATGGGTCAAAGATCGCGAAGAATATCTCTTCACATGCTACTGCAGCAGGACCACTCCAAGCCATGCATACTTTGATTCATTCTCGGTGCAAGCAGCAAGCAATGGACTCGCACGTCGAGCAAGCGGTGAAAAAGAGGGGCGGGAAAGTGGAATCGGCAGCGCTCCATGCACACCCGGCAGATCAATCACCAGACCTCACAATAACTCACCTCACAGGCCTCGACGCTAGTCTTGTCCCTCAGGCGGAGCGATCGGTGGCTCCCGATGTACAGGATGAGGGTGCTCGTGACGATCAGGTTGACGGGAACAGGCACCTGTGTTATTTTCCGCAGCAAAAAACCGGCAGCACGCGACAGGCAGCGCGCCAGCAGCGAAGAGCCGGCGCCGCACCGAGGACAAGGGTTAAGGGGCGCGTCGGCGAAGGTCTTCGGTTGCATGTAGGACGAGCGCCGCCCGTCCCCAGCCCTACTGCTGTTGTTCATTACCATCTCTGTAGCGCAGCTGTTGCAGCACGGGTTGAGCCCTTACGAGGACGTGTGCCTCGCTCCATCTCATCGCCGCTTTTAAAACAACTACCTCTCAGTTTCTGGCGCACGTCCGGCAGCGCCATGGTTTCCACACGCTGACGACGGCTTGCGTGAGGGGCTAGGGAGCAAAGGATGCGGACAAGGGCCTGCAACGACCTAGTTCCAGGCCCTTGTACACACACCTGGCTGCAGCCCCTCACGCAAGCCGTCGTTGGGCGTAGAAATCGTCACGCTACAGGACGTGAGCCAAAAAACGGAGCGGTAACTTCTTTTGAATGCGGCGATGAGACGGACGAGCGAGGCACACAGAATCGCAAGGGTTCAACCCGTACACACGGCAACAGCTGTGCTACCAGCTAGAGGTGAGAGCAACAGCTGGTCTTGGTCGGGGTTGATGTTGGGAACCCCCACACGCAATAAAACGTCGAGACCTTGAAAGTGGCGAAGGGACTCACTCGAAGTGCACATACTTGTATTAAAGTGCACCAAACGTCAGGTGAAACTCGTCGCCCAGAAGTAAGCCCTGGCCCCTCAGGCATGCCTTAGAATTTTCCTGAGAGCCCGTTTTCGGGAGAGGGCTGCCTGAGAGGGGTTATTGTGCCTTAACGCTCCTGTTCCTCGCTAGGGACGTGCCCACTCCCAGACGGCTCAATAGCTCTCCATACCCTGTCGGAGTTGCGTGCCCGGCGAAGGGCCCACAAGACGATCTCGAAAACCGAATTGTGTATATGTAGGTTCAGAATCGGTGTAGCAGTTTTAGATTGGCTACATTGTCACGGTTTTGGATCCGTGAATGGTAGACTTAAGATGTGTCGTATTGTAGCGCTTGGTCTGCCGTGGCCTTGGACAAAAATTATTATCAAACCTTTAAAGTAAACTTTTGGGTCTCAGAGACCTCATTGCACACCCCAAATCACGCCACATATGCATATTACGACGGTATCGAATGGTATGTTGCCAGATGTTTCGCCTCTTTCTCTCTGCAGGCTTAGGCTTAGCCAATGGCATTCGCACCCTGTACCTAAGTATTTAGCGACATGATCCGGGCGATCGGGGAGAAAACGTTGGCGAGTCGTCTCTACCGTATGATACCGTAAGAGTCGGAGAGATGGCACCCCCGTGTTAGCGTTTTTGTATAGCGTATTTCTCCACAACCAGGGGGGTACTGCCGAAAAGGGTAGTTTTGGAAACATCTCGTCGAGGGCTTTCCTGAGAGGTATCGATTGGTGTTCGCACCCTCCTACTTGTGGAGAAATACGCTGCAAACAAACGCTAACACGGGGGTGCCATCTCTCCGACTCTTACGGTACTTCTATCTATGCATACGATGAAATACGGTTGTCTGACCAGACGTGTATGTAGCATAAGACTGCTGTACAAGCTTGGGAAACGTCACACCGCAGCTGGCAGTCAGCTGTGAGTTGGCCCTGCTGACTGCCTTTATTTTGATCTTGCATCGCCCCTTTGACGACACTGCTGTGCTTTCATGAGCAGCCCACTCCAGAGGGATCACTTGTATTCAACAGCGGATTGTTCGCATGCAATCTTTGCGTTGTACAGTAGTCTTTCCTCCGGAATTTTCAAAACGATCTTCTTGGAACTCGAAACTGAGATCACGCTGCTGCTGTTAACGCGCCCCGTCGTGTGTGTGCGGTATCTCGGCTCCTTGGAGCTCGCACCGCGTTCGGATCTAGCCAAGCAGAGCCACGCGGGCAGAGGCGGTTGCTTCGACGGCGACCGTAGCAGCATCCTCCGAAACGTTGCAGAACCATCACGGCGAGAGGGAGGGCTTTGAGGACCGCACAACGCAACATCCCACCAAACAGGAGAACGAGTTGAATCCGAATGACTCACCGGCTCCCGCAGTTCGCGAGGACTTGATCCACACATAGCGCTCCTCTCGCCGAACACAATTTCTACAGGGGGAGCGCCCAAGGTTTGGGGAAGCATCTCAGGCGGCGCAAGCGGTGTGTCCAAAGAGAGAGCGTTCTGTGTGAAAAGCTATGTACCGTCCGAGAGTGTAGGTGCTCTGTCGTTGCGCAGTCCCGCGTGTCCAATAATTCTCACCAGAACGAACTGAGTGAGCGTCCAGAGCCCGAACAGTGTAGCGTAGCTCGCCATCATAGGGAAACTCATCTTGGACGTAGGTAGAGAGGTGGAAAGCAGATGCGCACTGCCGGTACCGACTGCTTCACTGTTCAGCAGTCACAGGTCAGGTGCACACGCTGTGGATTTGAGGCGGCCCCGTGATCACTCCATTTACCCTGTGCATACCTAGTGGTTGATACAGCGGAGCAAGCTGGCTCGCTGGCTCCCATCATGCACACAACCCGCAGCCCGGCAGAGAGACAACCACTCTCAGCGGTTACCTCTCTCACGTCTCGTACACATCTCCTGCACACACACGCACACACCATGCCGGGTCAACGACAAAACGGCCGCGATTGCAGCGGCAGCAGTCACGTTTTCAAGGCCGCGCTTCTTGGAGCCATCGCGCTGGCCGTCCCGGCAACAAGAGCATCAACAGCAGGAGCCCATGTGGCAGCAGCCTCCCGCGCAGCCTCACGGCGAGCACCCGCCGCCTCCTCTTCCCCGGCGAACAACCGATGGGTGAGCAAGGCTCTTGCTTCCCGGGGCGGGGCGGACGAGCCGGCGGAGGAGACAGCGGAGGGTATCCCGGGAGTCCTTTCCGAGGTGGAGGTGGCTCTGTCTTCGTTCAACGACATCGTTGGGGAGAACCTCCTTGTGGTGGACAACCCCAAGAAGGGCACTACGAAGGAGGTGAGCTTTCTAAATAGAGAAAATACACGGGGACTGCTGTGTGGTGTAACCGGAACTTTTGTTGAGTTGGTGTGGGGATGTGTGTGTGTTTGAGACAGCCAAGGCAGGTTCGTAGTAAAAGGGGTACTGCAACATGCGGAAAATAAAATCGTGGGGCTACCGTCGCCCACGTGTCAGCCGTCAGCAGCAGGTCACGCACACGTCGTCCTTTCGGGAGTTGCCTCTGCTGCTGCGTTGCTGGCTTTGCTGAGGGCTTGGTAAACCAAAGCACGGCGGTAACACCTGGCCTTTACGTGGTTGTGGTGGAAAAGATTGGTGCGTCGTGTCGTGGCGGTATCATCCTCACATTGTTCGGGCTCATGAACCCAGCCTGTTTTTTTTCGGTCTTCAACGGCCAACAGCGATCGCCCCAAGCCGCGTCTTAGCTGTGTACTACTGCTGCTGTACACACCAGCACACGGAGAGAGATGTTCACGTATGTTGAGTGCCTTGCTTCTGGTCGTCGCTGGTGCTGATGTAGCCCGTGCTACTTCTACTCTGATAATGAAGATGAAGTTGTTGGCGTGTGGCGTTTGTGCATTGCCATAGTAGGTGTCCGCCAGCGAAACGCTCGATGGCAAGCACGTGGCGTTCTACTTCTCCAGCCAGGCGGTGGAGGACCAGCTCGAGAAGGCCGCACAGGGCCAGGAGACCGTCAGACCAACCCCCGTCGTGAAGGAGGTGAAGTACTATTGTGTGTAACATGTTCTTCGCATGTCGTGTGTTGTCGTTGTCGTTGTTGTCGTTGTTGTTGTTCATCTGAACCTATAACCTTGACACGACAAAGACCGATACCGATTTAGTGTATCGTGTTCGTGGTCCGTTTATCCAGACAGCAGCGGTGCGCCTTGTGCCCAGCGACTATTACGTTATACGACTACCGTACCACAGAAGTTGGAGCTTCTTGTACGTGTGAAGCCCCCGAGACGTCGCACTCCAACAATAACTCATGGAAACAAGTCGGAATATAAACTTTTGTGAGTACGGCGATGTCAGTGCTGGCTCCTACACATCCCTCCTCGACAGACGATCGTGTGCATCTAATACCTTGTTTTCAAGTATCCTATGCAACTCAGGACACACATGGCCCGTGGAAATCCAGGGAACTACTTGTAGGTGTTACGGTGGTAATATAGCTTGTTCGCCGACCCCCACCCCTTCTTTTTGTTGGTGATCCAGGCGTACAAGAAGGCCAAGGATGCTGGCAAGGAGCTTGAGGTGGTGTACGTGCCGGTGGCCGACTCGTTGGAGGTGAGCACCAAGTTATCAGGAGATGCACGGCATGCCGTAGGTGGAACAGAGGATATCACGCACCCTGCTAGGTCGATTTTCAAGGCTCGATTACTCCACGACGAAGAGGAATGTCCTAAACCACACGACACGTTGTATTTCGGAAAGCTGTCGATGAGACGGTTCGAACGCCGCCTTGTTTTGGCCACTCTTACTGCTGTGGAACCACCGAGCTTCGACACATGGGTCTAGGGGGGTGTGATGTCTTGTGTCACCTAAGGTACCCTGCTTGCTCGTGAAAATACGAACATTTTTGCCGGGTGTGCCGACTGTCAGGGTTAATAATGGGCATCGTATATTTCATTGCTCATTGCAGTTGTGTTGTTTGTTTGCTGCTCCTGGCGGTGCTTGTCGCTGTTGTTTTTTTTTCGCGCGGACCATCTGGCCGTGGGTTGAACCGGGTCGTGTACAATGATGTACGGCAGTATTACTGTTGCCGTAGATGGTGTGGGCCTTTCGTGCTTGTGAGCTGAGATAGTCCAGTGGGAAATGGTAGAGGACCTTGTTTGCTTGCAACGAATCACCCTCATTGCTAGATGTTGAAGAAAGCAGAAAAAATTGGCGGCCTTTTGAACGATGGCGACACCGCTCTGTCTGCGATGTGCGACGTTTGTCGCCCCCTGTGTGTGTGTGTGTGTTTGTGTGTTGGCTTGTTGCAGACGTACGAGAAGGCCATCAAGGACATGCCGTGGAAGGGCATCGTGCACAACAACGCCACCGTGGCGAACCTGATCCGCAAGGCAGAGATCCGCGTGCTCCCGGCCGTGATCGTGGTCGACGACAAGGTATGCGTAGGGTCACTGATGTATGGGGTACAGTACGAGGACCTGCAAGCAGAAATGCAATACCTATGCATGGCACTGACAGCGTTGTGTTTTCGACGAGGTACTTGGGGGTGATGAAAGGAATCATGTACACAGCGCATTGGTGTGTGTTTTGTGGGATACTTCGTTTTGTGAAGTCGAAATCGTATGACGTGTGAGGTGGATGTAGCTTGCACTTGAAGGTGTAAGAGGATGATGATCGCGATTGCCGCTGCCGAATGTCGTTCAAGCGTTCAAGGTTGCCAGATTTGTGTTGTGCGAGGTGGCGCCCCGCCAGACTTTTGTATAACGTTTTTTGTGTTTCTTTTTTTCCTCCGTCTTCTTGACGCTCGTTGTGCACGGCAGTTGTAGTTACGTTTTTGTACAGCAGTCATCACTTTGTTTTCGTTTTTGTTGCGGTCGTTGTCATTTCTATGTCGCTATGGTTGTCGTGCCTGCGTTGCTGATATGGTGTTGGTGTCGTGGTCGGTTTGTTGT